CTGTTTAGTGAATTGGTCATTGGCACCTTGAAACCTTTATAAATACCCTTGCTAGGTCTCACCTAAGAATCCATCTATCCCAGAAAGAAAGAAAGAAAGGAGCGAATTGAAGTTGATACTACTCCGAGGATGTCGTCTATTTGTCAAGGTATTCCCACTTGTATATATTATCTATATATGTATTAATTACAGTCCAGATGGAGATGTGTTAGTTGAGTATGATTTGTTCTTTGATTAATATTGCTACCTTTATTATATACGTACAGAAGGTAAGGATTCTTGGCCAGAGCTTGTAGGAGAACAAGCACAGGTAGCCAAAGCCATAATCGAGAAAGAAAATCCTAATGTCACTGCAATAGTCGTTTACCCAGGATGCCCGATAATCTTAAATTTTGATTGCGGCCGAGTTTGGCTTTCTGTGGACTGTAACAACGTTGTCAAAAGGACTCCTTCGATTGGTTAGATGGAGCTGTGCATCAGATCAATTCGCCAGTTACGTTGAAAATGGGAAATAATCATGCATGGCATGGCATGGCATGGGGCATGCGTGCAACCTAGCCATCTAGTATGTGTATTGTCTTTAATTTCCTTAAAATAAGAGTGGATATTAGCTTATCTGATCTACTCCTTGTATGTGTATTGTCCTTGAAATAAGAGTGGATATTAGTTTATCTACTCCTTCTATGTCCTGTTGTACTCGTATTAATATCAGTGATTAAATAAAACCAATCTCCACATCCATGCTCAATCAATTCCGTAATTTAATTTTTTAGATTTCCAACTTAATTATAGTTTATTATGATTTGATTAATAATAAAAGATATACAAGAGTACAAGACCAGCTTATAAGACTATAATTCTTGGGTTTCATATGTTTTTAAAACTTCGATTCACAAGTGTGATCTGGAGTATAATTATTGTTCTAGCTTGTATTAATTAAGAGGGTATTAAATTGTGAAAATATGGGATAAATAGATAAAATGACCTTCTCTCTTTTAAGTTATAATTAATAAGTAATATAATAATGAAGAAAAAAATGCTAAAAGTTGTTATAAATATATCTATTTGAGACCATTATCCTAGTTTTCTCATCCCTCTTCAGATACGATTTTCTTATGACGGTATGTGTGTGTGTGTATATATATATATATATATATATATATAAACATGGTTAGTTAATAAAATGTGTTATGGAGTTCATGAGTTCAATGACTTCAATCTTTGCTCTTCTTCTCTCATTCTCAGCTCTCTTCTTCCTTATACTGTTTTAAGCGTACAATTTCACAAGATTCCCATGAGGTTACTTTGTAATTTATAACAAAATTATAATGGAGTTCATGAGTTCAATGACTTCAATCTCTGCTCTTCTTCTCTCATTCTCTCTTCTTCCTTATACTGTTTTAAGCGTACAATTTCACAAGATTCGCATGAGATTACTTTGTAATTTATAACAAAATTATAATTTTACCATTTCTATATTAGTGTTGTTTAGATTATGATCTAGTCCAAAATGACAACACTTGTTAGAAGAACAAGTAAACAAGCCTCCTTAGTGAGTACTAACTAATTAGGGGTACTATTAAAACTCCATACTAATAAGAGAAAACTACACTTGCTATATAACTCGTGAACTAAAAGTGCAATTTCCCACCATCGAAAGTGGTTGTGACTTTCTCTCATCGTGTAATTTTAGTTCATGATGAGTAATATAAGAAGTATAGTATTCCTTTTAAATATATAAATTTTATACACTAATATATTGTTAGGATCAAGTTCTTACAATTATGTCTTCTGCTAGTAGCCTGAGTTGGACAACATACCGACTTACTCTGATACCAATTGTTATATTCAAATATTTATCACTATGCTAAAAACTATAATTAGTACTAAAATTGCAACTTTATTTTCATAAGCTTGTGTAGCAATCAATGCCATGTTTGGATAGCAAGATATTTGACTAGGTCCTCTATGCCCCGCCTAATAAATATTAAACTAATAATATAAAAATTAAAATTATAAATAATTTCTATCACGTCTCATCAATTGCATCAGATACAAAGGAAGTAGTAATTAATTAATTAAATTCATTTATCAGTTTAATGATTTTGTGTGTAGAAAGTCTATCTATGATAACCACATATTTAATATCGACACATAAATGCATGGAAAATAGAGGATAATGTCACAGAAATGGTCCCCGGATAAAATCCTCACGCTGTGGCCTAGCCAAATATCATAATCACACATTTATCATTAAGCCAAAAGTTATAACTATTAGTAAAGGTCTAATTTTTTTTTTTTTTTTTAAATTGTGTACCAGTCAATGTCATATTTCAATGACAAGATGTTAGACTTTACTTTCCAAGCTACTTTTACCCCAACAACCAAATAACCTTATTTTTTACTGACATATCCACCATGTTATAAAAGTGAATATAATATTATATATATATATATATATATATATATATATATATATATATATATAACACCTGATAAGAATTCGAAAGTTAGATTTATTAGAAAATTTTCAAACATTAAAAACTTAAAAACTTCTATAAATGCACATATATTTCCTGACCATTACAATAAGATACTCCATAGTTGGTTGTATCAAGTATTATTAGCACTCGTATTAATAATACTTTATACAACTTGATATATCATAGTTAATTATATTTGATATTATTAATTCCAGTGATAGAAAAATCATTAATTTAATTTATTAAAAATTTTCTTTCTACCAAAAAATTGAATCTCCATTTTTAAAGGTCCACACCTCAACCCAACAATGCATGTGGCATTTTGATAATTAGTATATCGTTAGACTCCAGAAAAATTGTCTTCATTGATTCAAACAAAGGAAAAGCTATTAATGATGAATTAATATATTGGCACGCAAAAAGCCTGGCTAAATTTCCATTGGGTGAGTGGAAATCAGAAGATAATAACAAAAAATTTGTACCTGCCGGGTTTAAGAAAAATCTAGATACTCCCTATTAGAGTTGATGATTGATAAATATTTCATTGTTTTTATGTAATTTGGAATATAGGCATCAACCTATTTAACTATACTTCTAATTATCTTATATCTTCTTTTTTTTTTTTTGGAAAAAAATCTATCGCCATTATTCAATGGTGTTTAAGCAAATTTAACTGTGGATCATAGTTCATGTGGCAGCGTGGACCATGAAATAAAATGACATCGCATCATTTTAATTATATTTTAGTTTTATTTGACAATATACGTTATTATATGATCTATGTTTTTTTAGTGGCATCTCATTTTTGCCGAGTTCTATTTGTAGTACTATAGATATTTGGAAAAAGTGTCAAATTGGCCCCCTAAGACAAGTGGATAGTGCAATTGGGTCCCCTAAGTGAAAAAAGCTCCATTTAAGTCCCCTAAACCGGTAAAATTGTTCAATTAAGTCCAATATGACTTGTTTATCAGGTTAAATCGATATGGTGTTGACACGTGTCCTTCTTATTTTATTTTTTAAAACAAATATTTTTTATTTATTAAAAATTAAAAATATTATTTATTATAAATTAATTAATTAAAATAATAATAATAATTAAAAATTGAAAAAAAAAAAAAACAGCCACCGACTGTCTGCACTAGACAGTTAGTGGCTGTCTTCCTTCTTCACAGTCATCTTAAGGAAAGCGGCTATGGACGTCTGGCCGTCTTCCGTTCTGCCACGGCTGTCCGTGAAGAAAGAAGACAACCACCGGCTGTCCGGCGCGGACAACCGGTGCTGTTTTTTTTTTTTTAAAAAAATTTAAAGTATTATTATTATTATTTTAATTAATTAATAAAAAATAATATTTTTAATAAATAAAAAGTATTTATTTTAAAAAATAAAATAAGAAAGACACGTGTCAACACTATATCGATTTAACCTGTTAAACAAGTCATATTAGACTTAATTGAACAATTTTACAGGTTTAGGGGACTTAAATGGAGCTTTTTTCACTTAGGGGACCCAATTGCACTATCCACTTGACTTAGAGGGTCAATTTGAAATTAGACCAGCGGGCATCCTTAGCTTAATCGTCATGGGTTCTAATCTTATCATGAATTTTTTTTTTATTAATATAGTTATAGATTATATACTCACTGTCTCAATAACTATAATACTGATCATTTCATTATATATGTAAAATTATTCAATTAGCTGTTATTGTGGAGTATATATTCTTTTAATTTTGTGTACTCTATTTAATTATTTCATCTCCTTTTCATAACCCTGGACCATTTCTGCATTTTAATTATTACCATTCACACAAAAAGATGATAAGAATATGGCCCAGCTTTTGTTAACATTGTTGTTGTGTTGTTGATTACATTTGCAACAACTGTATGGACGTAGATACTACACAAGGTAAATCGCAGTAAGAATATGGCACATGACAAGTTCATTCAAAAGAGTGTTGACAATAATTGAATTCATGACATTTAGGTATGTAAATCATGTTCCACTCACTTAGCATAATTCTATGATTTATAGATATTTAATTCTTTATCATAAAATTTTTGATGTAACTACTTATTATTATACTTATAAATATCAAAATAAGAGTGTGTTTAGTTCATGGTTTTAGCTATCAGGAATGAGAATCAAATTTACTAGTACAAAAAGAGCCACAGGCGTCTTTACTATTTGAGAATACGCGTCTTTAAACTTAAAGACGCGTATGGCGCAGACACTAAAAGTTGGCAACTTTACGCGTCTTTACTTGGTAGTCGCGTAAAGTGGACTATACGCGTCTTTTCCTGGCAGGTAAAGACGCCCATACTGTAATATTTTTTTTAATATTTATTTTAATTCAATAGTATCCTGTACTAATCTTTGCTCCAACAGAAAATTCCACTACCAAACAACATTTATATGAAACAACATTTATATGGTTCAAACCATTCAACACAATATATATAATCCAACATACATAATTGTCTAACACAATATAATCATCCAACATCATAATTGTCTAACACAAAATAATAATCCAACATTAATATATCATAATATATACAATGTAATTCCATCTAGTGCACCTAATAAACATTTATATGCACTCATTTACAAAATAGTCTATCCATAACCTTCGTATCTCATCTATTTCATCCTTAGAATAAGCATTTGTGTCTTGATATGCCTACAAAATTTTGGATAATTAAAAAAAAAAACAATGAGTATATATACTATAAAATATCTTTCAAAAAAAAATATACTATAAAATATTATAATAATTAAAAATATTTAAATTGTATCACTTTGTACTCACCTCATCCAACGAAGTGTAGTTATGAAATTTTGTGCATATATCATAAATGAACCTCATAACGTAGTATCCATATTCATCACTACCGGGTTGTTGAGGACACTAAAAGAAAACCACGTACACATGTATATATATAGATATATGTATGTATTAGTTAATTGAAATATAACTAAGTAAAATTTTTATAGTAAACAATCATATTTTTTTATACCTTCACATATTTCCAATTAGCATTACCCATAATCCTTTGCCCTCGTTGAATTGCAGAGGTTCGAAAAGCCCTATCATTAATGTATATATATAGAAATAACTTAATTGCCAATAAAATAATACTAAACTTATGAAAAAGACATAATTTGAAGTACATAACATTTTAATAGTTTTACTTACATATTCACGGCTTGTTTGACTTCAATTTTGCGCCTACAATTCAATGGATCTAATACGTATACGATTCTTGAACTTGCATGACGCACGAGTAGTAACCAATGATTCCTACAGTTTTTAAACTTGTAAATTATAATTTTAATTTAAAATAATTCAAATGATACTATATGAATTTATAAAAATATATATATATATATATTTTCTTACGCTTGATGGTATGGTGCTAAGATAAATGTCTTGTCTTTCAGCGTAACCATGGTATTCCCAATGTATGTTGTAACAGCATCCTCATTTAAGTCAACATTTCCTTTCGCAAATTGCGTTGGACACATAAACCCAATTGAGTTGACTTCAAAGTCCTTGCATAGCTGATGAGCATACCTGAAATTACATATCCTAAAATAAGTTATTTGAAAACACAATAAATTTTTGAATTAATGAAACATATAAACTTACACTATAAAGACTTGAATAATAGACACATCAAGCCAATCCATCGTGAATAAGTCTTTAATATCTTCAATCATCACAAATATGTTACTCATATTTGTATGGTGAAAGATATCATAATCCAACCCCAACTCAAAATAATCCAAGTCTAAAGGCATTCTTCTTATCAAATTATGTAATCGCTTGCCACTTTTTCCCAAGGGTTGCAAGCCATCATCATCAATAAAAGGATGTCGTGCGCCAGTAGCAGACATGTCACATTGTTCCTCGCTTTGTTTTTTGCCTTTATTTTTCTTAATTGCTGAATTTTTGATTATTTCTTCCTACAAAGAGAAATGTAAAGATTAAAAACAAAAATTTTTAATACAATTATAAAACAATAACAAATAATTACCTCTTCAATATTGACTAAATGTAAAGGCCATTGTGCAAATGATCCAACAATTTCTGCCAATGTTGTATGAAAACTTGTTGGTACAGGTATGCTAAGTGTTGTTGTTGCACTTGGAAGAAGCATATCAACCGAAACTTTTACATGAAGCGGTAGTAATGGTTGACTATGCACCATAGTGTCAGGTCCACTAGGATAAAGTGTCCCGCTTGCAACAACCTCCGTAGTTGAATCTCCAATGTCAAATAATACGGCTAAACGACATGGAATTGGACTCTATTTTATAACAAAAAAAAAAAAAAAGTGTTATTGTAAATATTGAAATAAAATATTTCATATTATAAAATAAGAAATATTACCTGAAGCATGCCAAATGGATATGAATCAACTGAATGACAACTACTACGGGTACTAAGTAGTGGTTCAGTAGGCATATGGACGCTCTGAGGTGTACCCACCGCTGAACTCCTAAAATCATTAGAAAATTGTTGGGGGAACTGTTGTGGCATGCTTTTTATCACAAGACTAAGTTGATATTTCAGCATATCAATCTCAGGTTGCACCTCTAGCAGTGTATCTTGTCTTACTTGTTTAGTAATGTCCAGCCTAACTTTCTCGGCAATATCTGAGTACACATCTTTCTTGATAATCTCTCTAATGTCATCCACCGATACCACTCCACTCACTCTTTCCCGAGCCTTCTCTGGTTTGCCAAAAACTTTCCTTACATTAAGGTAACTGCCAACACCTCTAACATAACCAGAGAGATCTCACTTCTTATAAAGAACGGTAGACAATACATCATGTTGTCTACTTGTTTGAAATGACCCCTGACCTAGTTCTTTGACCTTTTCAACCTATTTCAGTATATAATAAAACTACATTAAACTAAATAACATTTTAATATTATTTATAACCAAAATATTCTCAAAAAGTCAATACTTACAATTTTCTCAACCACGCTCACTGTTTTTTCGTTGGGAATATAAAAATTTCCATCATCCCCTTTCTTCGATCGTGCTCGAACCCAATCAAGACTACGATCATTTGATGTAAGGGCCGAGCTAATAGAGGCACATGAGGACTGAGAAGATAAGGGATCAGATATAAGCCACCCTGGCCTTTTCCCTGCATATCCAACATTCCCTAAATGATGTGGATGTTCATTGAGCAATTGTTTTTCCCTTGCCTTTTTACTTTTTTCATATTGAATCAAAATATATTATTAATACATGCATAACAATTACACATTTTTACTAACATAATCAATTAATTAAAAATACCTTGAACTCCTCCGTAGTGTGACTAGCTACAAATCTCTCCCATTGTTCATCATTCAAATATTCATATAACTCTGTGGGAGATGGATATCTTGGATGCTTCTTGTTTATATATTCACGTACTAATGGCCATTGTTATTATTTGGTTGACAGGTTTCTATAACACTACTATAAGATCGGATTAGATTAACCGTACCCCTTAATTAGAAAACTCAATCCCTAATAAATATAAGGTTTTATTCCATTATTCTCCCTCCTGGTAATTTGATTTTTAAGTTTGGATTAGTGCTTTTAGATTTTTGTTTTGTTTTTTTTTTTTTTTTCATATTGGTGCTTTGGATGTCTTTATATTAGAATAAATTGTCTTGATTTTTTATTCTTGTACTTTTAAAATATGTATTCCCATTATATGATCATACATAACCAAACAACAATATATATTGGTAATCATTCCAATTTCATCATACTACCAAACATGCTAAATACTTTCACCAAAACCCATTACCCTTACCAAGTATTTGATTCCCATTCCGATTCTCATTTCCATGTGCGAGAACCAAACACACCCTAAGAGTTATTCTAGGGGTTAATTTTTTTTTTTTTTACATTATATGACATATTGTGATATATTAAGATCGCAGAATTATTTAGCGCATACTTTAGCTTCCGATGCTTTCAATTTCGATTTGCCTATGTACTGGGATGCTATCCCACCAGACTCAGTTTCATGTTATCTACAAATGCATCCACAATGGTTTCCTCAAAGAAAAAAAAAAAAAAAAAAAAAAAAAAAGATCGAATCCTGGTGGTGGGGTCTTTAGATTCTTTGGACTAAATGACTGAGAAATTATAAAATGAATACTATCTTATAAAAAATCATGAGTATTTCAAAAAAAAAATCAAATAAAAAATTAATTAACAAAACAATAAATCGATCATAATCCGATATTTATAATATTTGCCAATAAAATATCTATAGTATTACAAATAAAACTCGGAAAAAAATGAGATAAGATAATTAGAATTATTATGGTGTTCCCTTCTCTTGTGTGATTTGTACACTATTACAACTCTAATAGGGAGTATTCTAGATTTTTCTTAAACCCGGCAGGGACCAATTCTCTGTTATTATCCTAAGATTTCCACTCACCCAATGGGATTTTAGCCTGGCTTTTTGCGTGCCAATATAAATTCATCATTAATAGCTTTAATTTTCCTTTGTTTGAATCAATTAAGACAATTTTTATGGATTCTAACGACATACTAATTATTAGAATTTCACATGCTCTATTAGGTTAGGGTGTAGATTTTTAAAATTGGAGATTCAATCTTTTGAGAAAAGATATAAAGGAAATTTTTAAAAGATTAAATTAAATTAATGATTTTTTTTTATCACTGGTATTAATAGGGAAGGGATCAAGTGCGGGAGGGGGCTTTCCGTGCGGTTATGCATTACTCACCGCACAACCGTACAGGAAATTAAACATGCACCCGCACTGAAACTTAATTCAGTATTAATAATATCAAATATAATTAAATATGATATATCAAGTTGTATCGAGTATTATTAATGCAAGTGCTAATAATATTTGATACAACCAACTGTGCAGTATCTTATTGCATCTGAGTATTGTGGATATGGTAAAAGAAAATTATACGGACTATTAATTAATATGCTTTTTATGTTAAAATGTATCACATTAAAATATTATATAAATAGACTAATTTATTCGATGGATTTGTGGAGAGTTTAAAGAGAACTGTCATCTCGATATACCCCTACTGCCACATTACATCAAAGGCTAACCATAAAATTTATTCAAAATTGTTAAAAGTTAGGTGACGGCTTCTTGTGTTTGGCCAAAACTTGTCCATTAAAAGTAAAATTCTTGTCTTGGGGACCCTCACACTCCGTCCCTAGCGGATTAAATTTGTGGAGGAGCTGGCCAAACCTAACCATAACATTTTGGTCCCCTAATAAAATTTTGGTCCCCTTAGATAGCCGCTTATGCGGCGCCTAGGCGCTGCTCTACCGCTCGACTAGTACCTAGCGCCTACTATAATTGTGCATGATCAAAAAATAGATGTGCATTTATAGAAGTTTTAATTTCTAGTTGATCTTCAAATGATTTTAAGTTTCTAACGTTTGAAAATTTTCTAATAAAAAATTCTAGCTTCCAGATTTGTATCAGGTGTTATATATACAAAGTGTCAAATTGGCCCTCTAAGTCGACCGGATAGTGCAATTGGGTCTCCTAACTAAAAAAAAGTTTCATTCAGATCCCCTAAATCTGTAAAATTGTTCAATTAAGTACAAAATGACTTGTTTAATAGGTTAAATCTTCACATTGTTGACACACGTCATTTTAAATTTTTTTTTTTGTTTTTTTTTTTTTTTATAAAAACTTTATTTATTTATTTATTAAAATCTATATTATAAAAAAATAAAATAAAACGAAATAAATTATAAAAAAAAAAAAAAAAAAAAAAGAAAGAAAGACACAGCCACCTAAATAGCTTTATGCGTTTTCAAAAAAAAAAAAAAAAACAGCTTTGTTTTTGTTTGTTTGTTTGTTTTTTTTAAATTTTATTTTTATATATAATATATATTTTAATAAATAAATAATTTTTAAAATAAATAAATAAATAAATAATATTTTAAAATGACACATGTCAATAATGTGAAGACTTAACCTGTTAAACAAGTCACTTTGAACTTAATTGAACAATTTTATAGGTTTAGGGGGGTCTGAATGAAGCTTTTTTTAGTTAGAGGACCCAATTACACTATCTGGTCGACTTAGGGGGCCAATTTAACACTTTTCCCTTTGTATGAAACTAAATTCTAATTAAATTGGATGGGCATTAGAACACAATATCGTATAAATATAGCATTGTTGAGATGTTAGTTATGACCCATTTAACCAAAATCAAATTACACTCAATTTTTTTAGTCATATTTTTTGTTTTGATTGAATCTCGTTATTGTCATAAATTGATAATTCCCAATTGTTGTCACTTTATGTATTGCCATTATATATGTTGTAGCTTAAACGAGTTAGATATTGCATTACATCTCATTTATGAAAATAATGATTTTGTTAACATAACCTTTTATTATGTTTTTATCATATTCTTTAATTTATTATTGTCTATATATGAATATTTGTCTTGCATGCAGTAATGTGATGGCATTTTTGGCGAATATTTATATTCTTTTAAATCTCAATCAACAACTATGTTGGCATAAAAAAACTCGTGGGAAATTTTCATTGGCAAGTTGTCAGTAGGAAAATGACATTTGTGGGGAGAAATTATTGGTACTCGATCGGCTAGTGAAGTGAAATGATAATGCTAAGGGCATCCATAACATCTCTCCCTTTATCTTTTGTGAAGTCATAATTTTTACATTATCTTGCTTTTCTTATTTTCTCTCTAATCATTCTCTCGTTTCATCCCTTTTTAGTAGACCATACTCTTTAAAACTCCTATACATAATTTATTACTGAGTATTTTATTTACGTTTCTATGATTAATAATTTTAACTTTAGAATTATAATTAGTTACCACACGTGCATTGCGCGAATAATCCAATGTCCAATGTACATTTCTAAATTAGTTTTTCAGAATTTATCAAAGTATCATTTGGTATATCATGGCGTATATCAATGTAAGATTATCAAATTTTTCATAAAAGTAAATATTTCAAAAATGTATTACTATAACCTGTGACAAAAATGTTGAATTAACTAGTGTTATAACAGTTTTAGAAGGGAGCACCCTCACTGAATAGTACCCAAACATAGTTTTCGCAACACAAAACTCTATTAATTGGCGTGATCCATGCTTCCTTTTGTTGCCACTTCCGCCATAAATGAATTCTTGATTTGAAATAGTTTCCACCACAATTTTAGTGTCTTGGCACAGTGCACCTTCAAAAACATAATCAAATCCTTCTTCCCCCAAAAGACAATGATAATAGACATAGTTTCTCATCTATGTTGAATATATAGTGTAAATTAGGTGTACCGTTTTATCAATACCCAATGCGTGATTCTAATTAATTGACCAAAGTTCATGTTAAATTTTATTTTGTATTTTTTAATACGCTGTGCTCTAACATATTCAAGTATATGTTTAACAATTATGTCAATTTTGATTGGGATAGGGTTCAAACTTAAGATCTTTCTTATAAAAAATCAATGAGTAAGTTAACAATAATAAATGGT